GTAGCCTTCACCCACTCCCCACCCCAGTTCTTCACTACACTATTGTCTGTGTCAATGGGTTATGCATATATGCATACAAGTTCTTTGGTTGATCTCTTTCCACTCATCCAACCACCACTGCCTTCCCTCTGAGATTTGACAGTCTGTTCTATGCTTCTATGTCTTTGTATCTCTTTTGTTCATCAGTTTATTTTGTTCATTAGATTCTACATATGAGTGAGATCGTGTGATACTTGTCTTTCTCTCACTGTCTTATTACACTTAGCATAACACTCTACAGGTCCCTCCATGCTGTCACAAAGGGTAAGAGATCCTTCTTTTTTACTGCTGCATAGCATTCCATGGTGTAAATGAGTGTTTTTATTATACTCGATTTCTAATTTCATTCCATTGTAATCTGAGAAGATACTTCATATGATTTTAATCTTCTTGAACATGTAGAGACTTGTTTTGTGTTCTAGCATGTGGTCTATCTTTGAGAATGACCCATGTGAACTTGAGAAGAAAGTATATTCTGCAGTTTTGAGGTGAAATGTTCTATAAATGTCAATTAAATCCATCCGATCCAGTGTGTCATTTAGAGTCACTGTTTCCTTGTTGATTTTTTATTTGGAAGGTCTATCCAATGAAGTCATTGGGGTGTTGAAGTCCCATACTATGACTGTACTGCTGTCGATTTCTCCCTTAAAATCCTCCAGAAGTTTTTTGTTTGTTTGTTTGTTTTTTATGTATTTAGGTGCTCCTATATTTGGTGCATATATGTTTACCAGGGTTATATCCTCTTGTTGGATAGATCCCTTTAGTATTTTGTAGTGACCTTTATTGTCTCCTGTATTGGCCTTCATTTTGAGTCTCTTTTGTCAGATATGAGTATTGCTATGCCAGGTTTTTGTTTGTTTCCATTTGCATGGAATTTTTTTTTCCATCCCTTCACTCTCATCCTGTGTGAGCCTTTTGTTCTGAGGTGGGTCTCTTTAGACAGCATATATTTGGGTCATGTTTTCATATTCATTCATCCACTCCATGTCTTTGATTGAAGCATTTAATCTGTTTACATTTAATATTATTATTGACAGGTACTTATTTATTGCCATTTTAATTCTTTATGCCTATATTTCTCTCTATTTCTTCTTATTATTACAGCAGTTCCTTTAGCATTGCTTGCAGTGCTGGTTTGGTGGCAATAAACTTATTTAACCTTTTTTTTTGTCTGGCAAGCTTTTTATTTCACCATCTATTTTGAATGATGGCTTTCTTGGATATAGTAATCTTGGTTTCAGATCCTTGCTTTTCATTACCTTGAATACTTCATGCCATTCCCTTCTGGCCTGTTGAGTTCCTGATGAGAAATCAGCTGACAGCCTTATGGGAGCTCCTTTCTAGGTAACAGCTTTTCTCTTGCTGCCTTTCAGATTCTCTCTTTGTCTTTAATTTTTGGCATTTTAATTATGATGTGTCTGGGCATGGGCCTGTTTGGGTTCTTCTTGCTTGGGACTCTATGCCTCCTGAACTTGTGTGACTTTTTCCTTTACCATGTCAGGCAAGTTTTCTGGCATTATTTTTTTCAAACACATTCTCTATCACATGCTCATTTTCTTACCCTTCTGGCACCTATTCTGAGGATATTGTTACATTTCATGTTATCCCACAGCTCCCTTAAGCTGTCCTCCTGTTTTTTAATTGTTTTTCTTTTTGGTTCTCTGATTGAGTGATTTTTTTCTACCCTGTCTTCTAATTCACTGATCTGATCCTCAGTTTCCCCTAATCTGCTGTGTATTCATTCCACTGTGTTCTTCATTAGTGCTATATAATTATTCATAGTTACTATATCTTTTCTCATGCTGTTGGGCATCTTTGCCATCATTATTCTGAACTCTATGTTTGATAAATTTCTTATCTTTATTTCATTTATCTCTTCTGGAGAATTCTCTTGTTCTTTCATTTGGAGCTTTTTTTTTGTCTCCCTATTTTGGCTGCCTGTTTGGATTTTTGCGTATTTATTAGGTAAATCTACTACAACTCCCAATTTCTAGTCTAGGACAACATCAGATGCTGTTTATAACTGGCTCTGAGTACCCTGTTTGAAGGTATCAGCAATCCACATCTTGTAGCTCCTTCTGCTGGGGCTGAGTGCCTTTGGAAAGAACCAAGATGTTCACCAAGTTCTTCTTTTTGTAGCCCCAGGCAGAGACTCAGCCTCCAGAGACCCATCTGTACCTGCAGTCTGATTGTTATTCAGTCTTGAATAGCCTCTGGCTATGGACCATAGGCTAGAGGAGAGGTTTTTCCAACAGAATGGAGCAATAGCTTCTCCCTGCAGGCTGATTGTTATCCTCAGTCTTTTAAGGGGCCTCTGAAATGCCACAGAGTGGGGCAAGCGTTTTTCCAATAGGGTTGGGCAATTGTGTCCCC